GATCAAAAACAGTTTGTTGCACCATATCATTCACTACATCTGCTGCAATCTGTGAGGCTATTACTTTACTTTCTTCAGTAATAGAGTATTGTATTTTATCACTTTGCTCATGCAAAGCATTAAAACCTTCTTGTAACATACGAAATAGTTCATTTATTTCACTCCATATAGTATGATGATCATTTCTGAGTTTCATCATTTCATCTTTTACAACAAAAAGTCCTTGGCAATGCCCGGCTGCCTCAACGTGGTGCCAAGGTCCAGTACTTCGTATTGTCGGAGGAAGCCAAGAGCCAGCGACGTTTTTCTTCCGGAAGACTCGTTGGCCCTTAGGTTACGGCGTTATACAGCACCGGGAACATCCGCGTCGTGCTGGGGCAGAAATATATCCAAGAAGGTCCTGGGGCACGTGTCCACGTACTATCAGCAGTATCACCCACACCAGGTTGCTGCTGAGTGGTGATGTAGAGGAAAATCCCGGCCCTTCACTGCGTGGAATGCAGTGCAACTCAGCTGGACTTATCCAAGCCAAGAGGCTTGCTCTCCACAAAACCCTTGTTGAGGAGAATGTGACATTCTGCCTTCTAAGCGAGAAGGAAGTATGTTGTGCGGAAGCGTCGAGTTTCACAATCGCTGGTTACCAACATCATGGAGTGCCCCACCCCTCTAAAGGAGGCGGTGTTTCGATTCTTGTGCGTGAAGATCTGCCAGTAGAAGTAGGACTCACCGTAGTTGCAAGCATTGGGCATCCCCATGCAACGGTCCACATGTCAGAAGGTCTGGCGCTCACAGTGACGTCAGCATATTCTTCCCTCTGGGTAGGACATACACAACCTCGCAAGTAGACGCGCTTTTGACGACAAGCGGACCTCACCTCATTGGTGCAGATGCTAATGGGCATGCAATGGCATGGGATGGCGCGATCCCTCCTGATACCCGCGACGATGTGCTAGTACAATGGTGCCTAGATAATGATTACGTTATATTCACAACACTGGAGATTGCACACGCCACGGTCCGTCCGCGCCAGATGTGACACTGTCCCGCGAATGCCGTCTGGAGTCCTGGACGGCATCCTTCTCCCCGGATAGCGACCATTACATCACCCTCTTCGGCGTAGCAGTAGGAGATGATGACGAACCACTGCGGTTCCCACGCCCTCGCGCCCCCATTTGTGCATGGAAGAAAGCGAAATGGTCTCGCTTTAGACAAATGTCAAACGCACAGTGCAACAAACGCCTTAAGGAGAAAATGAGCGTTCACAAGAGTGAACGACTACTGACCTCCGCCATCCGTATCGCAACAGCTGCGGCGGTTCCACGCGGAGGTCGAGATACTGCTCCTTTTTGGACTCCCGAATTAGATGAAATCCAAAAGAAGATTCACAATTGTAAACCCTCAGTCTCCCGAGACAGACTCGTAGCCCGCAGGAGAGAAATGCCAAGACAAGCATCCCATAAGAGATGGAAAACCCTCTGTAATAACATGGCCGTGGCAGACGGCTGCTGTCGGAACATTTTGAAGAGGATCCACGCCCCACGCCCCCTCAGTACCCCGGCGATAAAGATTAATAATACGGTACTCACATAAAATCAGAAAGCCAGGCACCTTATCCGATTATACTCACGACGAGCTCAACGTCACCCTAATTCCTACCCTCCACCGCCCATTCCAGTCACCGATACAGAATTCATACCCATTACTGCAGCAGAATAGGAATGGGCACAGCGTCTCCTTCCTAAAGGGACAACCGCAGGTCCAGACGGTATCTACGGCGAGGCACTCCAACACTTGGGACCTCGTGCCAAAGCAGAGACTCTTGCCCTCTTCAACGAGAGTCTCCGTACGGGCGTTGTTCCAGTCTCTTGGAAAGTAGGCAT